ATCATTATACAGCATCGCGATGAGCTGATCAAGGCCTATCCGCCATATGTTAATTTCTATGAGCAGATGAAGGAACAGCTGCAGTACTGTGATCGCGAATACCCACGCTTCCACGCCTTCCTCAAGATCAACCAAACCAAGCCAGAATGTGGACGTCAGAGCCTACAAGATCTAATGATCCGACCCGTGCAGCGTTTGCCAAGCATTAGCCTGCTGCTGAACGATATACTGAAGCATACGAACGGCAGCAATGCGGATCATGCGCGTCTCGAGGAGGCACTGAAAGCCATCAAGCAGGTGACGCTTCACATCAACGAGGACAAACGCCGCACCGAATCTCGCATGGCCATCTTTGATATATTCAACGATATCGATGGCTGTCCAGCGCACTTGGTTAGCTCCAATCGCAGTTTTATCTCCAAATGTGAGGTCAACGAGCTGTCCGATTCACTGAGTGGGCGTGGTGACAGCCTATTGCTTTACTTGTTCTCCGATTCCATAGAGCTGTGCAAGCGCCGCTCGCGGGGCTTCAACACGGCCAAATCGCCGAGCACGGCCAAAACGCATAAGCACATTAAACTGATATCGCTGAATACGATACGATTTGTCATTGATATTACGGACAGTCCGCGTGCCTTTGGCCTTCTGCAGCGTGGCGATAAGGAGAAACTCTACACGTTTAGCATCATTGACGAGGAAACGGATAAGCTGGTCTATCTTAAAAAGTTGTGCATGCAAATTGCCGCGCACACGTGTCGCACAGATGCTGTGAGTAGTTAAAGAAAATTTCCAATTTGTATAGACTGACTGATGTACATTTTGATTGCAGGACAAAATGATGCTGAGTCGCACTTCACTGGAACTCGAGGTGGACATCAGCGATGTAAATGTCAGCACGTTAAGCAAGGCCTTCAAATTAGCTGCAAAAACGCGCCTAAAGGTAAATTTCTTAATAACTGATTCCATAATGTGCTCAATTTAAACGCATTTTTGATTTTTGCCAGGTGGGACGCGCCTTTTCCTTTAACAAAACGCCCAACAAGCTGAAACGTGCGGTATCCACAATGATGACATCGCCGTTTGGCAGCACCAATTCGCTGACGCCCGCCTCGCAGCTGGCACAGATGCGTCTGGCCAGCTGCACCAATATTAACGTGAGTTACTACATATATGTAATATATTCGTTTATTTGCTAAATCGATTGCCAAATTACAGGAAGTAGCTGATGAGGATTGTGCCAGCATGCGCAGCAGCTCACCATCTACGCAGTCCGAGCTGCTGGTCGTGCCGCCGCTCTCTGTGCAGCCCACGCGCAAAAACAAGGCCGTTGTCGGCCGAATTTAGCCAGCGATGCTTGAGTCTGGCCCCGGCTAATGCTCAACTCTCCCAATAAGCGTATTCCATATGAACTCTTTAGTAGGCCTTAAGTACGTCTCGAACACTCACGTGTGCCCATGCGTAATCATGACTGTATTGCATACTTTCGATATTCGTAATCTCACAAAAAAAAAAACAAAACACACGCGTCCAATCAGTATAAGGTCGTAATTTTAGAATTCTTTTAAGCGGTTTTTTAATTATCGCCATTAAATGTTGCGCGCAAATGTTGAAGCGTTTGCGTTGTTTTTGGCGTTTTCGATCATTTATGTAACGCTCAAAACTAAGCGGAATTGTAAATAGTACTTCTTAATATGTCTATCTATACATCTACATATATATATATACATATACCATGTCTATAACTTTATGTTCAATGTAATCGTATGTAATATAACTAATCGTATTAGTGACTTGAAATCGCATTCACGCACTGAAAACAAATCGGTTCGATTTCATTTTGTTCGGCTTGTCGCCATACTGCTAAAGCTGTGAATGTTTACTGAGTAAATTTAAAAAAAAAAATATTCATAACGATTAATGTTAAACTCATTCAATTTGTTTGAGACCGGCATCTACAGCATTAAGTTGTATTATAACAGAACATGATGATGTTTAAGATTTAATATATAAACAATGATATGAAACTTCAAAACCAATTTAATTTTACTAGAAGAAATGACACGGAGTTCCATGAATCGAATTAATTATAACTGATACTTGCTGGATAAATAATGGATCCGATTGTGCGAAATGTCAAGAGTACACAAATTCATATTTTTGCAAGATTGGACTTCATTTAACCGAGATATGGACATTAAAAGTTTTTGAAAAATATATAAAATTTCGAATATCTCGGGTATTACAAGTCTGATTTCCGAGCGGTATACCTTGTTTTACTCGTACAAACCTGGACTATCGATTGCCATCGAAAAATTTCAATTCAAAGTTTTAACCAAAATTGACAGAAATGGCAAGGGGTTACATCACAATTTTGGCGAAAATCGGCTCGGTTGGAAAATCAACAATTTCTGATGCCAATCTGTTCTATAGAGTCTCGCAAGTACGGCAAGGCATATCTCTCCCGAATCGCACTTAATTTGTCCGAGATATGGACATAAAAAGTTTTTGAAAAATATATAAAATTTTGAATATCTCGGGTATTACAAGTCTGATTTCCGAGCGGTATACCTTGTTTTACTCGTACAAGCCTGGACTATCGATTGCCATCGAAAAATTTCAATTCAAAGTTTTAACCAAAATTGACAGAAATGGCAAGGGGTTACATCACAATTTTGGCGAAAATCGGCTCGGTTGGAAAATCAACAATTTCTGATGCCAATCTGTTCTATAGAGTCTCGCAAGTACGGCAAGGCATATCTCTCCCGAATCGCACTTAATTTGTCCGAGATATGGACATAAAAAGTTTTTGAAAAATATATAAAATTTTGAATATCTCGGGTATTACAAGTCTGATATCCGAGCGGTATACCTTGTTTTACTCGTACAAACCTGGACTATCGATTGCCATCCAAAAATTACAATTTTAAGTTTTAACCAAAATTTACAGAAATGGCAAGGGGTTACATCACAATTTTGGCGAAAATCGGCTCGGTTCCGAAATCAACTATTTTTAATGCCAATCTGTTCTATAGAGTCTCACGAGTACGGCAAGGCATATCTCTCCCGAATCGGACTTCTTCTAGCCAAAGTATAGACATTTGAAGTTCTTAGAAAATGCTTAAATTAAAAAAATGTCCTGCCCGATTACGGAATGGTTTTCATTGTTATAGTTATATCTATAAAATGCTTGAGAGAAAAACCAGACAATGGATGCCCTTTCAGTAATCTGCGGCAAACAACAACTTTATTAATCATAATAAATAAATTACGGTAATTTAGTTGCCTGAATTTGCTGGAATTTCAAAATACAATTTGGGCGATATATCTAATGGGTTTCTTATACTATTGAGCACTTATACTACGCTTATCCCAACTGCTGTACATAGGCAAATATTAATTGACTTTTGTTATAGACTATATACAGATCTGACGCCAGAATTTATTTTAGACATCGCATCCGAGTGCAGCTGATATTGAAGATTGTGCGATTGGAGGTGTAATAAAGTTTTCAATTTGAAACCAATCTCTAGTACGGCCAGCTCGTTGGTACCATTGGCCGTCCAAACAGCTGCAAATGGAGGAGATCCCTGATTAAGGTATGCTTTAGATGGCTAATTATTTGGTAGTCCGTACATATCTTGTTGCTTTTCGCACGTATATTAACCACAGCGCCGCAGATTTCGCTAGCATATTCAAAGGACTCGCCCACCATCATTAACAAAATATCCAGCCAGATGCGATCGAGCGCATACTTCGAGCTCTTGCCGACAGTGAACAGCCAGCGACCGCCCTTGATGTTTGCCTCGTCTTCCCACATGGGCCTGCAAGACAAATAAGAGTATTATCAGTTCGGATTGGATTGAACAGGTATTACTTAGATTAGCTTACTGTATACCCTGTTTGAACATATAATAGTCGCTGCCAATCTTGAGCTCCGACGGTGTCTTGATGGTATAGTACAGGCTGAAGGGCAGATGAGATTTAATATTTTGAATAAGTTGTCAGACTGGGGGGGGGACTTACCCCCAAAAGGTTTCGATGCTATCGATTTGTGTGATTTCATTGAGCATATCCTTCCAGTGCTTGGTGCGATCATTTTCGAGATACCACAATGTCCAGACATGCTCTAGCGGATGTTTATACTCGATTTTATAGGTTTGTTCGTTCTGCTCCTCGGGCACACTTTCCAGCTCATGCTCCCGTTCCTTTAGCAGCTCCTGCTTCTCAATATGGGCAGACTGCTCCAAGCGACTCTGCAGAAACTTATTTGGCTCAAAGACCGATGACTCAAATGTTTGCATTTGGGCGCTGGCCATGCTTGGGATACCCTGTAAATCCTTAATGGGTGGGCAAATATTTAGCGATAAGTATGTTAGCGTTGAGTGCGTTTGCCGGAATATTGCGGAAAATACCGAAAAGTTTTGAGCGAAACGTTACGTGCCGAAACGAGGAATTCTAACGATAGAATGAAAGCAGATAGTGAGCAAAAAAATATGACAGGAAATGCTAAGGCAATGTCATCTATAACATACGCAATACTCAAGGCCTGCTGTGATACAAAATCGAAATGTCTCAAATGAGAATAAGCTGTTGGCGGCAGGCCGAAGTGTAAATACTCTGTCAGACACATGGAAAGCTAAGTGACATGGTACCTCAAGGCATTTGCTAAGGCCATGAGGTATATAAATACTCGCCGAGTGGAATTGGATTGGAAGAGACTTCACCTGCTGCTGATAAAACTGATGTTCAAGCAGGCGAAGGCTCTTCCAAGCCTGTTCCAAATCTCGTTGGAATTGCCAGAATTATTTTTGGTAAAATAATAATATGAAGACAACTTATGATTCAGATCATAATCAGAGATCATAAATGGTTCTATATCTTAACCATTTAAGATCGGAAGGTCCGAATATTTGATCGAATTTCACGCTTTTCTTTTCCATTTTCTACACACATTGCAAATGTACATTTATTTTTCTGTAGCTGCAAAATCATATAAATACTGCGAAACTTAGTTTGTAACTATACAAATAATTAAATGTAGAAATGCGGCGTATTCGATAAGAAACTGAAACTAAATACATATACATAATTAAAATAATATCATATACATAACGTACGTAAATCAAAAATTTGAAATTTAATTTAAGGAACGGCTAACAGCTAAACGAAAGAGAGAGAGAGAGAGAGAGGCACTAGCGAGTAATAGAACATAAAAACTAAAAAACTTAATTGAAACGGAGCGAGAAATGCCACTGGGGTGGGTTTTGGGCATCGGTGCGAGTATGGGCTCAGCCTAAACCCAGAGCACAGCGGCTGCATCCTCATTGGAGAGCGTGGAGAAGCGCTGATAGCGATTGGCATTCCGATAGGTTTTCGCTGGCGATTGCGTCTGGCAGCTGGCCGGGAGCTGTGGTTGCAGCGGTTGCAGCGGCACGCCCACCACATTCAGCGCCGACTTCAGCGTCGAGTTGCGGCTCTCTGTGGAGAGCGAGAGGCGGCAATTGTTGCCGCCAATCAGTGTGGAGCTGAGCGGCAGACCCACATCATGGAACGAGCTGATGGAACTGAAGCCGCTCTCATCCTCCGTGCTGGAACCATTATTATTGCAGTTGCTCGCAGCTGGCTTGCTTTGCTTATTATCATTGTTGTTGTTGTTGTTGTTGTTGTTGTTGGCGGCATGCTCCTCATCGGTTTCGATTTTGGATGAGGACGAGGCCGTCGAGGAGATGGTGGAATGCACAGAGCTATCGGTGGAGCTGCGCAGCGACAAACGCGAATCACGCATCTGGTTGGCGCGCAAAAACAGCATCTCAGCGCTGCTGGCGGCGACGGCGGCGGCGTTGGCATTGCTGCCGTTGTCCAGCTCAACGTTGCACTTGACAGCCGGCGGATGATTGGCCATCACATCCAGGCTGGTCGAATTGTGCAGCGGCGCGGGCGCAGGTGCAGCTGCGAGCAGCGTCAACACTGAGCTGGTTTTCTGATTCTTGCACAGACGCTGGCCGCCGCCCAGGGAGACGATCGAGTGACGCGGCTGCGTGAGATCCGGCTGCTGCCCAGACATGTGCAACAGGTTGCGTATGGTGCGCGCCAGGCGAAAGGCCTCCTGGTTAAGCTTCTCCTCGGCTGCCTCCGGCGAGGAGAGACGCGACTTGCAGCCGCCCAACTTCTTGGGCGAGCGTCGCCTGAGAGAGAGAGAGCTATTAATAAATACTTAAACAGATGAGCCGCACACACACACACTTACCAGGTGAAGTCCTTGAAGGCATTGTAGCTGCCCGCTGGCGCAATGCTCTCGTAGCTGTGCTCCTCGTTCATGGTCAGCATCGATTTGTTTAGCATCAGATTCGTGCTGCTGCGCGCGCGCAAATACGAGGCGGAGCTGTTGCACGAGGCGACGGAGCCAGCGCAGCTGTTGCCGCCAGCTGCCGGGTCCGGGCAGCCATTGGGATCGCTCTGCACGCCGTGCACATGATGCAGACTCTTCGAGCGTGAGATTTGCTCGCCCAGGCCGCCGCCCAAGCTGTGGCGATTCGCTTGTTGCTGCCGTTGCTGCAACTGTTGCTCCTGCTGTTGCAACTGTTGCTGTTGTTGCTGCTGCTGCTGCTGCTGTTGATAGCGCTCGAAGAAGCGAGCGACTTCCTCCATTACAGCTCGATACATTTCACAATTGGTTTCTGTCTGTTGAGAAAGTCAAAGTAAAGCTTAGTTCGGTAAAATGACAAATTCGATAGGGTTCTGTCCGCGTTTGAGACTGTCCACATCTATGTCAGTTTTTCATGGCGGCAAACCCGAGAAAAATATTGCTATAAATTGGACTTACGGCTCACACCCAGATCTGGCCTTTGGGTGCGGTTCGTGTGGCTGATTTTTTACAATCATAGACCTAGACTTTTCGTGTGAGTCTAGGTTTAACAATGTTTTTTTTATTTATTTATTAATTAATTATTAATTTATTTAAATTCGATTCGAAACCTTTAAAATGATTTGGCCCAGAAATTAAAATATGCTCCAAAAAGTATTCAAAATATTGAAAATGTAACGTGAATGAATGTTGCTCTCTTCTATGCGATTTTCAAGCATGTCATAGTTATAAATCAATTATATTAGAGAGCTTTTTTTTTTTCTCTCCCTGCTTTTTTATCTTCCTTTCCCTATTGCACACTTCCCTTTTTTCCTTTTCAAGCTTTCTTTCTTATCTGATACTTATCAAAAAAATCTCTCATAATAGATAAGTTGACTATTCAATTCATGAGAATCGCATGGAAAGGCAATCTACATAAGCAAATGCGAATCACGCCAATTCACATACGATTATTTGCTTGATAAATCTTTAAGTCTTATATCATAAATAAGAACAGAATTTCGCAACAATTCCAAGGCACATTACGTAATGATGGAAAATGCAGGGTAAGTATAAACGTGTTAGGTCTTTAATTTCGATTGTATAATCGTCGCACCGTCTAGTATTCTTTATAGATGTCTGTTCTGTTCCGTCTGTCCCTTCCTTTGTCTGCCGTATATAATTTTACGCTTCGTCTGTTCCTATTTGAAATTCATTTGCAGCAATTTGTTATGTTAATTATCTTAGGTAATTTTGCATGCAAATTTTGTTGGACAGTTGTTCAATTTCGGCTTTGTTCTCCCATTTTTTCCGCTCTATCTAAACGTTTCTGGGCTTCGAAATTCTGTGAATGTTGGGCTTTTATAAAAGTTGAATGTGTTGTTTTATGTTATGTTGCACTCATAACTCGAGATTATTTGACGACATTCTTTGACTTTTCTTTGCTTTTCGTCGACTTTTCTTTTACCTTTCTCCCGTGCAAGGTCGTTGCCACATTAAGCCCGTCATTTATTTATGATATTTGATTTCAATCAATAAACAGTTTACGCTTTGATTATGTTAATTTGTTTATCAAACATTTTCTATTGTCAACTTGAGATGCCGTTGCATTTGTGGAGCAGTCTTCGCTCTTTGCTCCAGAGTCCAATTCAGCTCAACCTCGCCCCCTGCCCCTGTTAAACGACTTTCACTTGGGCGACGTTTTAATTTAACCTAAAACTAAGTCGGACTAACATTTCAGGCCAGCTCGACTTAAACGCGGTCTGTGCGCCACGTTTTAAGCACAGAAATTGCCGTCTTTGGGCCAAATTGTTGTTGGCCCACAAATTTGCCTGCCTAATTAACGTGCAGCGTGCCGCGAGGCGTTGCCAAATTGGCTAGTCAAAGTGTTAAGATGCCACCTGGCCCAAAAAGGCTGCCACTGCCACTGACACACCCACTTCTTGCTGCTGCTGCTGCGGCGGCTGCAATTGCCAAATTGGCCAAAAAGAGTTTTACATGACGCCCAAATGAGGCACACAAATAAAAAAATAAATAAATAAAAAAAAAACCAAATGTTGGCAATGCAATTTGGCAGCAACGTTTTGAGCCAATGTTGTTGTTGTTGTTGTTGTTGTTATTGGCCTGCCTGCTGATTACGTAAGCTACAAAATGTTTGCTGCGGTCTTTCAAATAGTTGCCAATGTTTTTGTTGTTGTTGTACATTTTTCCGTTTGGCAGCAGCAGCAGCAGCTGCCATTTAAAGTTTTCCTGCTGCGTGTTTATTGGATTGAAGATGGGAATTACGAGTGCACCATTCCCCTCCCTCCCCACCCATCACACACACACACACACACACATACGTAAGTGTAAGATTTATGCGATTATAAGAAACAACAGGTTTAAGCGAGGCGTTAAGCATTAAAAATACGCTTTCAAATAAATTAATTATATTATTTCTTGACCATTTTCATATGTTACATATACATAACATATCTTTAAATATATGCTGTAATATATATATATATATATATATTACATGTGCTCGCATAGAGTTGGAAGAGGCGATTAAATGTCAAGTCTATAAATAATCGTTTCTGATCCATTTTAATATACCTATGATATAGTACTGCGATTTAAGAAACATTACTGCAAAAAAAAAAAAAAACAGAATGCCAAGCTATTTCCCTGTAGTAGACATTTGCCTTAGAGGGAAGCTCGAAAATATGGAATTTGATTAACCTTTTCCATAATAGAACCTACTTTCCTCTGCCAGCTATGTGATATAGTGTTCCGATGTGGATAGGATTTTTGTAAATTTGTAGAGACCCTTGAGAGAAACTTATTTTTGCAGAGTTTGGTCAAGATATTTTGCTTAACAAACAAGTTTTTCATACACGAACCTAGCTATCGACCAACTGTGCCTATGTCAGCTATGGGATATAGTCATCCGATCCAAATGGTTTCGACATTTAGAAACAGACAGATGGACAGACGGACTATATATTAACTCGGCTGTTGATGCTGATCCAGAATATATAGAGATATTATCTTTTATGTTATACAAGCTATATGTAAACAAAATGTGAGCTTCTCTGAGATATCTTTGCAGATTGAAAAGTTGCAGCATAAAGGAAGCTAATTTGTAACCAATTTTCGTTATGTTATAGTCATTCGATGCGAGTGTTGCCACGTTATTTGGCTGCTGCAATAAAAACCTGCAGCTGCAGCAAATTGCAGCAGCTTCAAACTTAGCATAGGCAAATTTAGATTGATGAGCTATGCGGACTTTATGTGAAAGTCTTGTTGTTGTTGTTATTGTTGTTGTTGCATTTATGCCTTATTTAATTCATTAAAGCGCATTTGCTTAGCCAAACACTTATTGAGTTTGGGCCAGATTCGTGGTGGATCTTGCCCATTTGCTGTTCACAATTTTGGTTCATTAAAAACCCATCTAGAGCTGCGCCAGCATCCGCTCACACACACACACACACACACACACACACAAATTAAAGTTCCTGCCTTCAATCAATCGACGCCATCAATCAAAGCGGACTCAGGCTGTGCGTCTCGTGTCTGGAACTTGGCTCTGGTCTCTCTGGTCGCAGCCCACGCTTCGTTCATGATTTGTTTGTTGTTTAATGAAGTTGTAGTTGTTGTTGTTTTTATTGTTGTAGTTGTTGCTGCTTTTTTGCCGGTTGCTGCTGCTGCTGCTGACCGCCTTTGGCTGCTGTGTAACCCAGTTTTTCTGGCTTGGCTAAGTTTTCCGGCGGCATTCCAGCTTGAGAGAAGTGTGGAAAATATTTATCACTGATTAGATTGCAATTTTCTGCCGCCTCGTCGACGGCTTTCCACGCGTAGCCAGCTTCATTGAGGCGCATTTAAAGCGCATTAAATCAAAATGAAAGCGTAAATATTTTGCCATTGTTGTTGTAGCTGTTGCTGTTGTTGCAACTTGATGAATTATAGAATCTGAAATCAGTTTGTTGATTGAAAGTGTTGCAATGTGTGTAAACACAGCAGACACATGCCGCGCGTCTTTTGCCATATATGAGAAAGTTGAAGGTCAGCACGGTTCAAATATGGCTTGGAAATTGAAAAGCATGGCAAGAAGAAGCAGAAGTAGAAGAAGAAGAGTATTGAGCACAAGCTGCGCTTAGATATTAACCAGGTTAGTTAACTGCCAACAAGTCAGCGACCCAAATACTTTACGACTTGCTATTTTCCAAACATAAAGCTGATCAATTAGACGCGCCCCTTGGGTGGCAATTCGATGTCTCAGATTATGGCTAGAAATTGAATTTCTTGTGATTAACATTTTGGCTTCTGAATTCTGACTGGAAATTTGCTCAATATGAAAGGCTTTTGAGTCGCCTCGGCTTACTTATAACAAATTTTTATAGCTTTTCTGTTAAGATTTTGGCTGGAATTATGAAACATCCTTGAAGAAGTTTGTGCAGCAGAATTGAAAGCACAGCATATTAAAAATATTACAGAATCTCGCATTATAGTTGTATTTATAAAAGTATTATTATGTGTCTAAAAGAAAAGATATAACTTCTTTTATATAAAGAATTCCAGATTGTGCCACGAGACATTTATCCTATTATGTTTTCATGTAAACATTTGCTAGAAATATTCTAAAAACATTTCCTAGTCTTACAATTTGCCTACTCTAGCTATAAAATATTAACCCTCAGTTAAGTTTCCATTTGCTTCTTTCTAATAATTTCTTTAGCATTTCCAATTTAATTTTTTTGTTAGTTTAAATATTCAGTTCTTCGTAAATTTTTCTATTTTACCATTTCCAATTTCCCTTTAGCATTTCCTCTTTCTGTATTGCTTTACGGTTCCCGTCAGGTCATGCACAGTTAATTCGTCAATAATTTCTAGTTGGAATCTTTGTTCAGAATCTTGAACATTTCTATCTGATTGCACGCACAGTGGGCTGGCATTTATATGCCTTGCCAACAGCAGTCAATAAAAGATAAAACTCCGCCAAGAATCTATTGTTTGAGGAAATATAAAATTAATGCAGCAAAAGTTTCAAGCCATTGAGGAAATGGCCAAAAGACAATGAGACGCCGAACAGAACAGAATGGAGGAGAATAGAGTCAAATGGTATATGGCATGGAGCCGAGGTGAGCTGAGCTGAGTTGGCAACTTGACGACCACCGGGCTCTATAATTAAGCGTTAAAAAGAATGTGCCGCCTAATTGTGGATGTGGCTGGACGTCGCCCTGGCAGACCAGCTGTCCGTAACCGGAGCCGGACAACACACAACAAGACGAAGAAGAGGAAGAAGAAGCGAGACGCTTAAATGAAATGAAATAAAAGAAAAGAAAAACAAATCAAGGAAATGCTACAAAATGAGATACAAAGAAAACAGAACAAAACAAAGGCCACTTAACACGGCGCTGAAAGCACAAAGGAATATGGGGCGGGTGAGGGGGAGGTGTGCGGTTATGGCCATGACAATGTCTCTCTCTCTCTCTCTCACTCTCCCCCCTCTCTCTCTGGTAATTATGAGTGTATTAGGCGTGAGAACACAGGCTGTCCAGAACGAAGACAATGCAGAGAAAGAGAGGCAGAGACAAGTCAGGCGAACAGGTTGAAGTTGAAGGTATTTGGAGCACCTGGCAAGCCAGGGCAGGGCAGAGCAGAGGAGAGGGGCTGGGGAGGCGAACACAGCCTTTGCATAGTTAAGCATGTAAAGTGAGCGTTGAAGTCACGTTTTGTGTGTCGCCGTTGTCTCAAGTCTGGCGTCTAGACTAGCAATGCTTTTGTCAAGTTTGTGTCTTAAGTCTTTCGACTCTCAAGTCAAGTTTGTGTCTAAAGTCTTTTGTTTGGCACTCACCTGCTTCAATTGCCATTGCAATGTGTCCACCTGATTTTGCAATATGACAGCCTCGACATTTAACGTTTGCTCATGTGCGGCAACTGCTGCTGCTGCTGCCGCCGCTTGCTGTGGCAAGTTGTTGTTGTTGTAGTTGTTGCAGCCGTTATTGTTGTTGTTGTTGTTGTTGGGTGCGGCAACATGACTGGCATCCTGCAAATGTTGTCAACAGATTAAAAATGGAAGAAAAAACTTAGCGAATAGTAAAAATGCGCGTTAAATTAGCTAAAGTTTTTGCCATCTCAAAAATGTTGTCGCGCCGATTGGCAATTTGACCAGAGTCTGGGTGGCAGGCAACACACGCCTCGCTGCCACATTTGGCGGCGCCACAAGCGGCTGCCAGTTGCGTTGCGCATTCCGCTTTTGCGCATAACCAAAAGCGGAAAATATACAATAAAAAAATAAATAGATAAATAAAGCAAACACCAAATTAATTAGAGAAATTGTTTCACAATGTTTTTTTCTGCACAATTTTCTTCTGTTTTTTTCTGTTTTAGTATTTTCATGATTAATTTTTATATATTTCAACTGCTTATTTTCACACTAAATTAAAAAAAAAAAAAAGAGAAAAATGTGTAGGCAATAAATTTCTGGTATACTTAACATTTAACATTTTTTTAACATTTAGTCAAGCGAGGCTTTTTATATTTAGTTGTTGTTGTTGTTGTTGTTATCTGTCTGCCAGAACCCGTTTGTCAGTTATGCGCCATGTTGTTTGTTTTTCATATAACAACATTTTTTTGATACAGTTTAGGTTTTTTTTTTTTTTATGTTCATGGTTTACTTTTTCTTTTATAACGTCATTTTTTCAAAGACTTTGACCCACAATGCAAATAGAAAACAAACTTAAATATTATCACAGACTAGTCAAGCTTGAGCTGTAAAATCCAGCTAATAGAATTTTTCGTTTCATACACTAGCGGGAATTACCAGGCGTTGCCCGTAACATTTTAGATATTTCTCTTTCATCCAGTATCCCAGACCGTTGAATATTTATTTCTACCCGGACTCTCTTAAACTCTGATTGAAAATATTTGTCACAGTTCATCGAATCGAAAATGGCATCAAATCAATTTGGACAAACATCTATGAATCCCATCCGAAGTTAAACTAAAAAGTTGCATTTAACTGTTTTCAGTTGGGATTTCTGAAATTTCACAAACAATTGATCATTAACTTTAGGGACATTTAAGACCGATCACTCAAATCTGAAAACATTCCCAAAAAAGCCTTGGATTCTGCGATAAGTATAAAACCCTTCCCAAATCAATATTCATAATAATGCTTAGAAATGAATTTGAGTTCGAGACATACCCCACAAAATTCTTGACACCGCTTTCCACCAAGTCATGACGGATTTTCCAAAAAAGGGTGAAATACATCTTATTTGAATTTAAATAAAGATCTTTGAAAATGAGTTTGAGGCCAAAAAAGATGCATACACACTTTTTTCACGGTTTTTTTACACTTACGGGTGGAATTTATTAAAACCCCATTTTGGGGGTTCTCTTACGGTTCTCTTCTCTTCGATCAGGCAGCTAGTCAGAACAAACTGTTTTATATAAAGGGATGATATAGTGCTGCGCTTCAAAGCCTTTTTGCAAGTATTTGATTAACAAATCTGTAAAAGAACCTTTAACTAAATACTTTTAGTAAATGCTCAGCTTCAAAAAGTTTATATTCAGCTTTGTGGCTAGTTGTATTTGCTTTAAAAATCAGCTTGATTAAACGTAAACACTTTAATTTCCAATCACAATCTCAATTACCGCGCGGCCACAACGAAATTTTCCATTTGCGGTTGGCTTTGTGGTCAACGGCCACGCCCACCGCCAACTCAATTTGCGGCCAGTTGAACGCTTATTAATTACTGTATTTATTTTTTCATTATAAATAATCTTTTGAACCTGCTGTGGTAAAAATTACCATAAAAGTGCATCAACTAATTAAACTAGAAGCAAGGCAGACGCGGCGCATTAAGCAAAAGACTGGGAAAAATTTTAAATTTAAATTTTGAAATAGTTCATTTTGTTGCCTTTATTTATTTTTTTTTCTTTGGGTCGCTTTTCATTTGGGAAAAAGATTTGGTAATTTACATATGAGAAATAAGTTATGAGAATGTAATAAATCAAATCGAGGCTAACTGAAGCATAATTTTGTTTTAAACTAATTTATTTTACGAAGTTTTTGAAAATGGCTGAGAAAAAAAATGCATTTGACTAGGCTATTTGTATATATAATAAATTTGTATATACAACAATAAAATATGCAATTTGTTTAAGCTAACTTTAATAAAAGTTTAAATAAGAACAATTTTGTCAAACAAAAGTTATTATTGCTTTTATATTTTGGTGAGAGTATTAAATTTTGTCATAAAGCGTGTAAGGAGACATATGCGGAAAATTATTTTTTCTATGGCAAAACAATCGTTTTTCCAAAATGTTTTCAACAAACTTAGCATTTAAGTGCTTCCCTACTCTCACATATATGCACAACCGTAGGGCAATACCGAATATATTCTTACTTTCTCATTGCTTTAACTTAGGAATAGTTTTAGTAATGCATTTGATTTAATTTGTTTAATTATTCAATTCCTCAAATGATTTATCAAAACCTTCTTTTGTTTTGTTATTATTTTATTTATTAAAAGGCTTGCTGTTTGCGTGTCTTTGGTTCCATGAAATCGCCGGGTTTCTAGTAATATAGAGACTTGATATTATGAAAACTGATAGAAATCTTTGACTAAGATGTTTTAGTTTATGTACTTAAGCTTTTGTACATTTGAGAAATTTTGAATAGTTACTACTTCAACTGAAGTATTAAATTGTTAAAAAAAAGTCACCTCTTTTATATTATAAAAACGTTTTAGTGCCACTTTTTGTCTCTTCAGCTAGTTGGCAACAACAAAACTGGTCTTTCTGGGCCTTTGAATAAACTTTATGTAATGCATATGATATATTATGTTTATATATATACTATGTGTATATATCTATGACAATTTTCATTTAAATGTATATAATTCCGTTGCATTTTATGCTAATTACGACAATTATATAATGCACATACTCAGCCCTTTATAGCCAAGTCTTAAATTATGCAGCTCGTGTGACGCTTTAAAAATCCATTTCCCAAAGTTATGCATGAGTCTATATTATTAGATACAGGCTCACATTTGCGGGCAGCCGTGGGCCAATTTGCATAGAGCTGAGCTGAGCAGCATCGCAGTTCTCAAATCCCCCTCTCGGCCCTTATTCGTTCTATCAAAATCTAATTAAAATGCGCGTTACAATTCGCATAAACAGGCGACGACCTCATTGCAAATGGCTTTTGGCATGCAAATTTAACGCTGCCAGCCAACAAATGTCAATTGCTGCAACAACAACATTAACAACAAGAACAGGGAGCTGCACTTGGTGGCAAGTGTCAGTTGCAGTTGCAGCTCCAGTTGGAAGCTCATCAATGTGCTATTTTATACGGCGCAATGCAATGAAACCTCGGCAAAGCTGCCAGCTTTGAGTTGGCAAAAGAAATCTGCATTTTAAATCAGCGCCAACGAACAACAACAACAACAGCAACAACAACAAACAATTGCATGCTCCAGTAATTTTTGTTGCCTGGCCAACAACAACAATAACAACAACAACGGCAACAAGTGCAGCAAAGGAAGGGTTGCCACATGTGGCACAGTGAAGATTCCCAGGCCAGATGCGGCTCCATTACCAACTTGTTATTTAAATTGTTTTGCACTAGAAGTAATGGCTAAAAGGAGACAGCAACAGTAGCTGAAAGAGAGACTGACGGCGGGGGTGTTTGAACGTCAAGTAGCTGAAATGGGAGAAAAAAGGGTCAAACTACAAAAAAAAAATAAAAAACATTTGCCAGCGGAATGGTTGAAAATGGAATGAAGCTGTTGCTACTATGCTCTGCTTCTAGTTGTTGTTGCTGCTGATCGTCATGATGAAGTTAAATGTTGCTGCTGATTAAACAGATGTGCGCACAATGAAGTTGTCGCTGCCGCTGCAGCAGTTGCTGGGCCAGATACAGGCCAAACAGGAAGTTGGGCAGGGGAATAAGGTTGTGGTATTACTTTAATTTAAATTAAATGAAGTCGAAGCAGAGAGACATGTACATACATAGATAACAATATCTTTATGTATGTGCCAGTGCATGTATGTATGTATGTGTGCATGTATGTATGTATGTATGCATGTATGTATATATGTATGTATGTATATATATATATATATGTCTGTATGTACGTGTGTGGATGTTCTCTCATATCTGTGGTTCAAAATTAAAGCAAACATATTTTGATATAACGCCCTACTATGCGATTCTCATGAGTTCAAGTAAGCCTTGCTTGTTTTAATGCCTTAAATAAATGTGGGTGGTGTTGGCAGTGCACTTTGTTTTTGTATAAAGATATGTTTGTTTGTATGTGTTCATGTTTATATGTTTGTATATATGCTTATGTGTCTATATATGCATACATGTGTATACATACATATATCTATTTATATATGTGTGTATGCATGTGTTTATCCTTTTGTAGTCTATCTCATCTTCACTCCGTCTTTCTGTCTTTCTTCCTTTTTATTCCTCTTACTCCTGCTTTTATTCTAATCCGTTTTGTTAAAGTAGTATATGTCTGCCGCTTCTACTGATGAATGACAGCCAAATGATCGTTGTTATTTCTGAGTAAGTCATTATTTACACATACATTCTATATGAATAATTCAAGCCTGAGGTATCTCCTGTTAAATATTCAAGTGCTGTTAACATAAAGCTGTTAAAATTTCTCTGTTAACTTGAGTGTTAAAGTGTTTTGGTGGCACAAACGTAAGGACAACAACTCAAATCTTAGTTTTGCCTGGCAAGCTTCTCTTTAATGTTGACTTTAGTCTAATATCAAAAGCAGCCTCTTTTAGAGGCAGATTTCGTTTGGCTTGCAAGAAATATTAAGATTACACAATTTAAGTATGCATAAATACAAACCGTAGCATATCGCATATGGCATATCTAGAGCCATTGTTATATTAGTTTTGCCCAGGCAACAATTGCAGCGGCTACATCCAATGCCAACATAAATTTAAATGTGGCAACATTTCCCCCTTAAGTTGTGGGCCGTGTTTCAAGGCAACAAAGCCGACAAAATG